ACTAGTGCTTTACGTATTTATATAATATATTTATATAGATCTCTAGCTTGAGTAAAAAATATATTATAGTAAAGTGTTAATACAGAGTAGAGTAATAAAATACAGTCATAACTCTATATAGTAATTTTAATATAAGTGTATTTTCTAAACATCTTATACTTACTATATATAGCTATAATAATTAATTAAACTCTTTTTATAATATTTATTATAGATATAGTACTTTAATACTAATAATAATAATAAAACACTTATAAAGAGTAATAGTAATAGAAGCTTCTTAAGTATACTTAGAGGTAGACTTAGAGATAGTAATAAGTAAGCTATTATTTGTTAAATGTGCTAGTTCTATAACGCAGGTACAACGCGGCTAAGTAACATAGTAAATAATTGCAATATAGGTGTATTTTCTAAATACCTTTATTTACAGTATACAGTAGTATATATCTTTAATAAGATCTAATTATTAAAAGTTAGCTATAAACTTTGTAGCGTCTATAAGCTTTACCTAAAAGAAGAGAGTAAAGACGGCTAAGCTTCTATTCCGCGTTCTATAAGCCTATGCTAAGAGTATAGAAAAACAGGCTTAAGTAGCTAAGCTTTATAAGTAAGCTATAAAGCTATAGAAATGTTAAAATATTCTAAAAAGTAAATATAGTGTACTAGTGTATAAGATATTCTTGTATAAATTAGATCTTTAATAACCTAAGAATTATCTAGAAACAAGATATCTTTTAATAAGAGCTCTTTAGAATTATCTTATTATTTACTATTATATATTTTACTTATACTTTATATTATTAGATACTTATATAGTACTTTAGATAATAGAATCTCTTTATAATTAAATATATTTTTTACTAAACTATTATTTATATTCTTTTTTACTTATACTAACTACTTTATATTCTTATATTAATATATCTTTATACTCTCTTATGTCTATATAGATGACAAAGCTTATAAATATATATTCTACTATATAGTATAAGAAGTAGTTAGTATTTATTAAAATAATATATATAGTAATAATAACTAACGTAAGTATATGCTTTATAGGTTAGTATACTTTATAGATTACCTATGCTAAGACTCTACTAAAACCCTCTTTATTATAGCCTATTATAATCTACTTTAGTATAATATAGTATAAAAAATACTAATACAAAATTAGAAGGCTACCTCTACTTTATAATTATATGTTTTCGCGTTATATTTTATATTATTATAGCGTCTACAGCGTCTTTAACATAGTTTACTCTCTTTAGTACGTACCTATCTTTTTACTTTCTTTCTATTACTACGCGCTCTAAACTCTTATAAAGCTATTTTATACTAGCTATTCTCTACTATTATAGACTCTTCTACTCTAACTTACTTTTTTTTATATAATTTGTGCTGCGTAGTAGTCTTATTAGCTACTTAAAGCTTAGTAATCTTTTTTTAGGCTAATTCTAGCTTATATATAATTATTACTACGCTCTTTAAGACTTTCTTAAAGGCCTCTACTATAGAAGATAGTAAGCTATCTATATACCTTTAAATTCTTTACTTTACTAGCGTTAATTATAACTTTATTTTAAGAGTATTACTAAGAGTTTATAATAGCTAGAGTAAGTTGCTAATAAGTAGTAGTAAAAAAGTACGTAACTATATATTAATGCCTATTATAACTTTCTCTAGGTTAAATAAAACTAATCTAGCGCCTCTAAACTTTTTTTAGATATTACTAAAAGTAACTATCGTATTAAAGGCGCGCTTAAAGTAAAGTAAAGACTTAAGTTTTATAATATAGCTAATTTAGTTATATATTAGCTTCCTAGCTTAGTAGCTATACGTTTTTTTTAATAGCTTAAAATAACTTATATTAAGTAGCTATAGTAAGTAAAATAAGTATAGAGGTATATAGAGAGTAATAATTTTTTTTTCTTTATAGTATTGCTTAAACTAAAGAGCGTTATAGCTTTTATATTTACTAATAATAAGTAGCTAGTACTATTCTATAGTATACTTTTTTATATAGATATTAAAGTACTCTAATTACTAAAAACTAATTTTATTTATAGTCTAACTATTCTTAGAGACTAAGATTAACTAATTCTAAAGTATAGCGGTTTTTTTATAGTAGATAAAGAGGTAATAGCGCTTTTTAAAGATAATATAAAGTAGAATAGCTTATTTTATTATATTAATACTCTAAATAACTATAGTCTACTTATAATTACTTAGCTAAATAAACTTTAGTTATTCTTACTTCTTTAAAGCTAAAATAATAGCTTTAGTTAATATTATACTTATTATAAAACTAGTTTTATTAAAGTTATAAGTATTCTTATTCTAAATACTATACTTAGCTTTTATATTAGCTACTAGCTAGAACTAGACTTAGATAGCTATAAAGTCTTTATAGAAAGCTCTCTTATAGTTATACTTAAAATTAAACTTTACTTAGAGCTCTAGTTAGCGCTTAATAAACGTACTAGGCTATTATAGGCTAATCTAGGCTAGAATATACTTAGCTTATAAAGAATTAGCTATATTAGCTATATCTATAAGGCAAGAAGAACATTCTTACTTAACTAAATTAAGTATATACTAAATAATTACTCTCTTTTTAGTTTTATTTATACTTATTATTATTAGCCTATAATTTACCTATATAGATTATCTAGCGTATTAATAGCGTAATATCTTTTAAAGAATATTATAGATAGCTATAACGCGTTATAATAGAAGAGTTATGTCTTATTTAATAGCTTAAAGCGTAGTCTATATTTTAGCTTCTTTTAATAGTTCTATCTAGTATAGTTAATAGAGTATTATAAAGTAGAGGTAGTTTTAGTAGAGTCTTAGTATTGATAGACTACAAAGCCTACTAGACTGCAAAGTATACACCTACGTTATTATAGTTATTATAGTTATTATAGTTATTATAGTTATTATAGTTATTATAGTTATTATAGTTATAGCGTAGGTAATAGAAGACTAAAAGAGTTCTATAAGTAAGGTATCTTTACCTTAAGGCTTCTATTCTAAACTATAAAGGTAGAGAGGTAATAGTAGAGTTTTATAGTTAATAAGTACTAGTAAGTTATTAAATTTTATTTATACTTACTACTAGATTTGTAAAAGTAAGTCTTAAGTAGAAAGATTAACTACTTTTTACTTAACTTACTAGAAGTAGAAAAATGACTTATAACACTATAGTATAAAATATTATACCTATTAAAAAAAATCAAAGTAATAAAGATCTTTTTAGAAAAATATATAATACTTTAGTAAAATTAATAGAGCTAACTATTTTTTTCTTAAAAGCTATTAGATTTTTTTTACTATACTTCTAGTAGTAAACTTACTTAGTGTTTAGCTTTTTAACTTTTAAGTACGCTTATAGAATATATATAATAGTAGTAGTAGTAACAATAATAGATAAACTTCTAAAACTTACTATAATACTAATTTATATAGTTCTCTTTATAGGTCTTAAGAGATTCTAGTAATTTAGTAAGAAAATTATAGTTAAACAATAAAGCTTTTAAACTATAGTAAGATATTATAACTAGTAAGAGATTAGATTTTTACTTAAAATTATCTTAAAAACTAATTAATTATATAGAGTATTAGTATATTCCTAAAGTATTAAGTATTATTAATATCTTAATAAAAGAATTTAAAAATTCTACTTATACTAAGAGTTTAGAATATATATTCTAAGTATAAAGCTTTAGAAACTAGTTTCTTAATAGATATACACTATAAAAAGCTTTTAGTTTAATTACAATTCTATTAAAGTATATAAAGAATTCTTTCTCTAATAGAGTACGCTACTATAAAGATAGCTTTATAGCTAGCTTAAAATTAAAAGCTTCTACTATTATTAGAATAGTAGTACTAATACTTAAAGCTTTAGTATATTTATTTTTAAAAGTAGATAAAAGTTTAAATTTAAGATTCTTTAGTATATAAGTAATAGATTTTACTATCTTAGAGCTAGCTTAGAAGCTATAGAACTCTTAGTTTACTAATAAATATCTTATATTTTCTAGAAAGACTTCTAGAATAGCTTTTTAAAGAGTTTTCTATTCTTCTATAGTAACTATAAAGTAACTAACTTAGTAATTATAATTTATCTTATTTAAGCTTCTTTATAGATAATATACTTTAATTAGTAAAATATAGATTTTAGATAATATTATAGTTACTAAAATTATATATTAACTTTTATTAAAAATATTAAAGTATTTAATATTAAGATAAGTAGTCTAGCTTCTATATTTTAGATCTTAATTATTACTTTATTCAGAATTAATAAACAAAAAACTATACTCTTTTATAAAAAGATTAGTATTTATATATTAACTATAAAGTTCTAAAATAGATTACCTTAATAGTTTAAGCTTATAAGTAGATAAAGTTCTAGTATATTTTTTTTTAAAAGTAGTTAGAATTAATATAGTTCTATAGCTAGATTAAATTTTAAAGTTCTAAATAATTTAGAAAGTAGTAATACTAAAGATCTAAAGTTTAGCTTACTTAATTATTAATTATAAATAGTAAGCTTAACTTTTTTATCTATTATTATTAGTATATAAGTAAATAAATATACCTTTCTTTAATTAGCTTTTCTAATCTATAAAAGCTAAAAGTTAAAATTTTTATTCTTATTTTATAGTTTAATTCTACAAAATTTACTTAAATATGTAACTTAAACTAAATAAAAACTAAAGTTTACTAACTTCTCTAGAGGTTTTACTTTTCTAAGTTTTCTTTACTACAATTTGTATAAAATAGTACTATTTATAGTACTAGATATTAAGAAAAGAAGAAAATTATCTTCTATAATAAGTGTAGTACTAACTAGTCTTTAGAGATAATAGTCTAAGCTACATCTTAGAGATATAAATCTAGAACCTAGGTAAGATAAGGTAACTAATAGAAGAATACAGTATGTAAGACAGCTTGTTTCTTAAAACGTATTTGTGTAATTATCTAATCTCTTCTTAGAGAAGCGGAATAAGCTTCGCTAGATCTTGCAATTTGATCGGCTTGCTAAGAAACATATTGAAGCCGCTACCGTACGCTTCAGCCCGTGCGGCCTCTGACTGCAACGCAGTAACTGCGATGATCTTCGATGCCTCCATACGATGCTTCTTCTCGTAGGATCGAATCTTTTGAACAGCCTCATAACCGTCCATAACCGGCATGTTGATGTCCATAAGGATCACGATTGGTATGCCGATTGCGCCCTTGCCGATAGCGTGCACTCCAGTGTCTTGTTGCGATGTAACATCTTGGTGAGCGTTCACGAATGCGTCGACAGCAATTTGACCGTCCTGAGCAGTAAGATGAGGGTACTTGTGTTTCTTTGCAAAGGCAGCGAGAAGCTTAAGATTGACGTTGTTGTCGTCAACAAGAAGCAAGGTCGGCATCTTCGTAGCCGACACAACTACAGAAGCGAGTGGTACTTTGATCAGAGGGGGTTCCGGCATTCGCGTCGTGACAGATGGTGAAAAGGAAAGCGCTTGAGGGTCGAAGACTCGGTGACTCGGCAGGTGTACCAGTTGGACTTCTGCCGGTGACGGTTGTACCGGGACTACGTTTGCGACCTCAGCCAGTATTTCCGCCGAGTTAGCTCCGAACTGTCTTATGCCAGGAACCTTTGCTGCAGCCGACCGTGGGGCAAGAGGTCGTATCTGGAGTTGATGATCAGTCTTAGCGTCGTTTTGTGCAACTTCATTCGCCAGAAGATCATTGCTGAGTTTTTCGTGGGCTTTTGACCGCTCTGAGACTGTCATCGTACGCTTCTCGTGCAGGCGCAAAAGAGACGACATTGCTCGAGCCACCTGTTTCACGCCACAAGGCAGAGCGATATGCTCCATCGTCAAATGAGGTTGAAGCTTGTCCGTTGCCCACTGATCGCGAAGCATCTGTGCACTCGGACTGTTGTTGCACACGACAAGGATGGGCGCAATGTTGTCCTTCCTCTTTCCACCCCCGTTATCTGAAGTTGCTTCCTTTCGGAGGGTCTTAAGGCATTCGCTGACGTCGGCTTCCATAACGATCATGAGATCGTGTGAATTGCTGCGTTGCCACCCACATCGCGCAGACCGTATGCTAAGTGAAGTGAGGATGTTCTCGATAGAGGAGATGGCTAAAGCAGAAGCCGTTTCCGATGGACTAACTTCAACGTTGGCCGATGGATGTAGTCCCGTGACGAGATCAACCTTGATGCTTTCGAAGGCCTTCGGGGTGACGTTACTTTCTTTCAAAGCCCCAATGTGACGCTCGCTGTTCGGGTGATCCTCGAGCGGCACCCGTACAGTGAAGCAGGTACCAGCCCCATCTTGATCGCTTACGACTTCGATACTACCACCCATTGCATACACTATCCTTGAGACTATGTGCATACCCAGGCCTAGACCGTCGGACAATGTGTCCTCCTGAGCAAAGTCATGGAAGAGACGGTCGCTCTGGAACTTCTTCGACATGCCCTTTCCGGTGTCGGAAACGGTAAGCACAGCGTCAAAACGTCGCCGCGATCCCAGTTTCGGCTCTTGCTTTAGGAAGACCCGTATATGTCCAGAAGGCGTGTATTTGAGTGCATTGGTGACGAGATTGATGCAAACGCGCTTCCAGCCGCCTGTGGCTAAGCTGCAATGCCAAGGCCTGCCGTCAGATCGATCGATGTCGAGAATGACCGGGGGATGAGTGTGATCTTTCGCATTTTGGCCGTAATAGAAGGAGTATACGGTGGATACAACGGCGTCCTCGGTCAAGTCATCAAGTGCTATGTTCATGTCTAGCGCTTTCAGATCGTCGGCAGTAGAGCTCGTGGTTGGTGGGAGAAGCTTCTGGCTGATGTTCGAGCTTTTCACAGCACCTTTCCTCAAACGCCGGCTCTTGAGATCTGCGAAATCGAGAAGATGTTCGATGATATCGAGCAAGGTACGTCCGCAGGAGTTTATCTGTTCGACAAAGGACGTAGCTACATCGTCCAACGCCTGTTCCGCTAGTAACTCGCACGAACCCAATATACCATGTAGTGGAGAGCGAAGTTCATGAGATATAGTCGAGATGAAGTCTGACTTGGCTTTATCAGTGCCCAATACATCCAGACGCTTGGTTTCGGCAACGATGATGTCACAGAAAGCATCGACGAATTGCATTTCCGTGTCTTTGGCGATATTTCTGAGTGGGTCACACGTCCAGTAGAGACCCGCAACCGCCCACCGTTTTTTGGTGTAGTCCCATATCCCATTGAGCGCTATGCAACGTGATCCGGGAAATACGCCCTGCAAGATATCTCCATCATTTCGTCGATCTTGACGATGGGTTTTGCGTTGTTCATTGCTTGATGATTGTGCTCCCGCAGCACTGACACCAGCCCCAGACTCGTCCGAAGAAACATCGTCTTCGGAGTAGATTCTGAAGTCTTCATCAAACTTCCAAACTCTTCCAAGGGGATTACGACGCATGAGCCTGCGTAAGAACGATTCTGTTAGTTTCGTGGGGGGCTCGCCCGTCGGATGTCTTGTCCCCATGGTTTGGTTTTGCGTTGTTTGTGCAAAGCCTAGCACCTGGCAGACGGTTGCATGTTCGGTTCGTGACTCGTTTGTAGGGTCCAAATGTGAAAACATGACAGCCGAATCATCGCTATCAGCGTTACTCCCCTCATTGGACTCCGCATTTTGTGATTCGCTCAGTCCACCAAATTCTCGAACAGAGGCGTCGAGGAAGGCGACACCGTCTAGTTCGAGTGATTGGCAAAGAATTTCTGCAGCACGTTGATATGTACTCTTGGGGTCGTCAGCGTCTTCACGTCGGCGAGGCTGTGGATGGTTTGTGAAGCTTTCTCCTGGGGAAGCAACATGTTTCGATGTATTTACCGTGTCCCTCCGCACATGTGGGTCGAGCAACGCATGTTTCCGATCGGTTAGACGGGGAGCTCCGTTGTAGTCGCTCGATCGCTGATGATGATGAAAAGTGCGGTTCTCAGATACCTGAGGGTTGCCGGTCGATGAGCTGTTTTCATGCTGCGCGGATAGGGTCACTCCTACAGACTGTGAAGGCGTCGTATCGGGAGTACTTGTGGGGTCCAACAAGGCATCGGGCGAGCGATACTGAACTGAGCAAGCTTCATGAACTCCGACGCCGCCGTTCTTCACAGGCACATTAGTTGCGGGCGACGCTTTGCGAGCGGCACCTGACGTTCCTCGAACAAAATCTCCAAGACCTGCCACCATGCGATTGGTTTGTTGCCGTTCTGAGAGAGCACGCACAGACTCGAGGTGGTTTACGACAGTTTGCGACATGTCGCCCAAGAAGCTGAGATCTTTCTCCGAGATTCCATCGCGGACTTTGTCGTCGAGGATGCAGTATGCACCGATGTTAACTCCTGATGGTGTTGTGATGGGCACACCAGCGTAGAAGCGGCCGTTGGGAAATCCAGTGACGTACGGCCTGGTAGAGAGGTCCGGATGCTTGGTCAAGTCGTTTACTACGAAGGCGCTCTTCCGGATGTCGCCGTCTGCAGCACTAGAGATGGGAAACGAAGGAAGATTGACGGTCGTCTCGCAACAAGCAACATCGCGGGGAATGATAGAGTGACCCATCCACATCTCATCTCCGGGTTCGTGGATCGCATCATCTACGAGTGATAGCGTTTGTGTCGCCTCGGCCATGATGTAGGCATGGTTAACATCGAAGAAGAAGATCAAACAACGTCGGGCCCTCAATCTCATAGCACCCAGCTGGCAAAACGCTGTGAGGATCTTATCGGGGCACGAGACGGCCTTGTGTCTCTCTCTCGCCTCGGGGTTGCGTACGTCGCAATATTGTGGGCCATAGTCAGACATCTGCCGGAAGGGGCCATAGTATCTTTACGAAAACATCAGTCTTGTCGAAACATGGTAGAAAAGCAGCTAATGAATGATCGGGTGTACCGGTAGAATTGCTGCTCGCGCCTGCCTTCGCCGCGAATAGCTTTGCGAGACTCCCACGTGCGGCCCGGCCCCAGGCAAGCACCTCCAGTGCATGCGTCTTGCATGACGACCGACGCGATTGACGGTACTGGTATTGCGGTGATCGTCTGGGCAATATGATAGTATGGTGTTGGGCGAGAAGGTTGTCAGTAGCGGCAAAAGCAAAGCGCGACGGTTTGCCACCCCTTAGGAAGCTCGGGGCTAGCGCATCGTTGCTTCGCGGCCCGACAAGAGACGGGACGCGTCGCGCTGAGCTGTGCGCAACCGGCATTGAAATGGCTACGTGTTCTATCATCAACTTCGGGATGCATAACGCGTTGATTGATCCAGTCAATTCCAGGAGGGGTGAGGAAACGCGAATCTACGCTTTGCGCAGTATGCAGGTATGGGATCGGGAGTTTCAGATGCAGAGCGACGGCTATCTGTCGCCTCTGCGATGAGCCCCAACGCATTCTAGCTCCCAGCCCCACCAAATCGTGCATCGCACAGGCCTGCCGCCGAGTCCCCCATTGTGTGAGCGGGTACTTCCGCATCATTGCGAACCATCCTCTAGTAGTTTCCCGTCTGCTAGCTATTAGGTACAAGATACTAGATGTTAAGCGTGATGCAAAAGGCCTTTGTAGCGAAATTAAGCTTAATTGCTTGAACAAGTGCAGGCTCAGCAGGCTAAACCCCGTACCAGAACTTCGACTTGTCTGATCTCTGCTAAGGACCTCGGTAACGCAATGCCGTTAATGGGCACCACATTCCGAAGTGAGATGGGTAAATCTTGGGTGACCTTCGCGGAGCCAGTATCCCGCACTCTCCACTTCATCATTTCCGCCGTCTCCTACCGGTAGCTTCAGGGGCGGACTCGGGTAGCGCTCGAGAGATCTGTATTGTACCTGAGGCTCCTTGCTATCCAAAGCTCTCCATTGACTTCGTTTCTGCCAACCACTGGCGGGTGCTTCACGTGGATGCTGGATGATAGGCCGAGCGCACTCGATCGCTCTGTAGTGCGGTTCAGGCAGCTCGACTATCATATTGCGCAACTGTTTTGACCTCCAGAAGGCATCGAGTAGGGGTAAGGCTGGACCAGTGAGTAGATCGTGGCGATGCCGGTCCCAGTAAACGAGCAAGGACACATAGAATTGGCGGAGACCGGGGCAGTATTTGACGATGTTATCGAGAATGGGCTCTAGGTGGTCCATATTGAAGAAGGGTGTGCCATCATCTTTCTCAATACGATGTGCCTCAACCGTCAGTTCCAGAGAAGTGATCGATGCCAATCGATTATGCGGGATCAGTCTTGGAAGATGAAGAAGCAAGGGCTCGCTCTGGATGCTTATGCAGTTGGCAGAATACAAGAATTCAACAGCTTCCATGTACGCCTGCCTGCAAGACAGCAGAAACCCCATAACGCCAATATCATACACCCCAGAACGCACAGCGGGGTCGTTTGGGTCGCTCCTTCTGTGCCGGCCCTCCTCCATCTGCTTTATGCACTCATCGATCCACGGGCCTCTCCAATGCCATGGCATAGATGGCTTCCATAATGGGTGATTACGTCCGCAAGGGATGCCCCTCCATTGCCATGCGCCTGCTTGCATTACAAGATCCATGTGGAGCATGCGTCTATCGAAGGCCATGGACAAGATGATGCTTCGGATGTCGTACGGCAGCTGGAAGAAGAGGCATGCTGGTGTGTCGATCGAACTCGGTGTAATCGGTCGTCGCGAAGAAGGTAGAAACGGAGGCTCGTCCGGGGATGGGGGTTTGGGGCTCGATTCGATGCGCAGGTACTTCTTCAGCCATGCGCTGAGCCTGGACATGGTTGGGAATGCGGCAGGAGGATGGCCTTGATGGACAGGGAAGAGATCAGGGAATAGGCAGTACGCTCATACATAGGTAGCTACCGTCCGCCCGAACGCGTGTGGCACACGACATGTGTGCGGCGACGCACTGGCGTGATGGAGAAGGCGGCCGCTGATTGCGCCTCCGTTCTCGTTAACCACCCCTGCGTCAACCGCCAAGGCACGGCATCTTACCCACAATGATCCGATGTACAATGCAAGGGGCTTCACATCGTTAGCGGCGCGCATCCATCCATGGAAAAGACTGCATCTCTCATTCGGGGTTTGGACCGTCTCCAGCCCGGGAGGTCCACGGGGCTAATCTATCTAGCGTGTTTGCCAAGACCATTTGCCGCCAGTCCGGATCCACCATCCACAATCTGGGCCCACACCGCGCCGCAAGACACCATCACCGCATGTAAGCAAATTTACACTTATTAACAGCTATCTTGATAACATGTTGACAGCGCCAAGGCGGCACGCTCTGCACCTAGATCTGCATTGCCATCAAATAGATCATACCCCAACGCAGTAGTAGTAATCAGGCCACAGGTTCTGGCAGTCATTGCCCACGGCGGGATTCCACTCGTAGAATTGGCTATATGATAGTGTCAGTATGAGCTTCGAGGTGATAGAGCTAAGGCCAAGAGAAGGAACCGTGGAAAGTGGTTGGACGCGGAAAGCACTTACGCCAAAGAGATGCCGGCGCCAGTCGCCATCGCGTAGCAGAACTCGTCTGGCTGCTGGAGGTGAAAGCTCACACAATGGTCCGCCATGCCTTCGCGAACAGGTGAAGGTGTCTGCACAGGCTCAGTTGGCTTTGATGTAGTGGTTGTCGGCTGCGTCGCAGTCGGTTGTATGGTCTCTGTCATCTGCGTCGGCGAAGGCGCGCCTTGAGTACGCGTAGTCGGCGTGCCGGGGCGACCTATACAGTACCATGCATCTGAAACGATGCCGGCGCAATCGCCGAAAACGGAGGGATTCCACTTCACGAATTCGGCCTCGCTGAAGCTACCGAACATAAGCGCGATAAGGTCGCACGTGTCGTCGAAGGTTGTCTGATACCATCGCGCGCAGTCGTTGGGATACCCCAGAGGGATTTTGCCCTCCGTCGGTTTGGCCGTCTGATGTGCGGGTAGTGGGAGATCAGCATCCGCGTATGCGCCAACACAGTACCAAGTGTCGAGCCAAAGACCTAGGCAATTGCCATCGAGGGCTGGGTTCCACGACAAGAATTGCTGTTGTGAGAAGTAGCCGTACAACTTCACAATGTCATTGCAATTTTGGTCGGCTGTCGCCTGATGGAAAACTTTGCAGTTGGACGGCATAGGTCCATGCGATGGGATTGGTGCGAAACTCGCATCGGCTGTGGGTAGTGTAACAGGCGTGTAATCGGTCGGCTCAGGAGGCGCGGTGAAGTCTGGCTGGGCCGTCTCCCAGATCAGATCCGTGTTACCTGTTTGTCTTTGAACGCCAACACAGACCCAGTAATCGGCGAGAAGCATCTCACAATCGTCCTTGGTCGTGGGATTCCAGCTCACAAACTCGTCGATGGATTTCAGTCCGAACTTGTCTACCGTTCGCTGACATGTATCGCCGGGCATAACGCGGTACCATGAGTTGCAAATTTCCGACTGCCCTGCGAGCGTCTTGGTTGGTGGCCATGCATTGTCGGTACTGGTAGCCGACACGTTCCACGAGGTGACGGGGTGTAAGACAGAATAAGTCGAGTTGTACGAAGTGCTCGTCGTCGCAGGGGTTGACGTGATGGCCGTCTGAGAAGTGATTCCGGAGGAAGATGATTTGGAACCAGAAGTGAACGTGGATGTAGGTCGCGAGGATATGGTGGGTCTGGTACTGGTCTTTCCGACGCTCACACAGTAGGCCGAGTCGAGCCAAAAGTTGTCGCGACAGTCGGAGGAAACCGCGGGGTTCCACTCAAGGAACTGCTCCGTGGATATACCGTAGGCTTGAGACACGATCTGACAATTCTCGTCCTTGACCACGGTATGCCAGCCGTTGCAGTTCTCGGGCTGGCCCGGGTGTACTGGACCTGTAGGACTGGAGTCTTGGGCTCTGGCGACTGTGAGAAGTAGGCCCGCAGCCAGGCAACGCGTTTGTTGGCTCAGTAAACGCATGGTCGAACTTGACACAGCAGCTAGGCGAGCGGCTGGCTATCGAAGTAGTCGAGAGACCAGTGTGTACAACCAGTCCTCGAAGACTGGAGCTTAACGCAAGAGGGTCGCGAAATGCTCTGGTTCTGCTATGAATGTACGGAAACGAATGAACACGCCATGAAGCCCAGGTGTGAGGGGATGTCTAGCGGCCCGAAAACCAGAATGCGATACTAGAATACCCATTGGGTACATGCCGAGTTTGTTAAGGCCAGCCGTCCATCGTTCCAGTCGTCTGACTGATGCAAGGATGTATGTCTGGGCAGGGTCTTTCAGGTAGAGCGGCGATGATGCTCGCTTCGTAGCCGCATGTCGTAGTGCTTGATGGTGCATCTCACAGGTTTAGGCTATCGGCGCAGATTCTTAGTGGGGCTAAGGCGGCTAAGCTCACCTGCAGGAACCCGCCGTGCCGCCACGGACAAAGTTTTATCATCCTCTTTCTTCACCACGTTACATTGCATGCCTTAGCCTCAGGATTCTGCCAAGCATAGCTCATATGGGATGCAAGCAGGGCGTAATTGATAGGGGTCGGGACCTGCCTTTTTCGATTACCACGACCGGGACAAGTGGGGACGTATGATTGAAGCTAACATCTTATGCTGACTGGATGACCATCAGGGCGGGAACTGCACACCGGCAAAATTTATTGGCGCATTCTATCGAAAGAGACTGTAAGCGAAGGGTCACAATAGAGATGAGCATCTACCTGCGTAGGCAGCCTTGCGCAAGGCCGAGACCAGGGTTGGATGGGGCTTGAGTCCAGGTAAGTTGTGTGCTGTTCACTCGGCGCAATCAATCTTTGAATACTTGTTACCGCTGCTTGGTTGTTGGATATCATCAATTCGCTGTCTCGAGTGGAAGTCACTCGTTAGCTCATTCACTCATACACTCGTTCACCAACACACTCGTTCGACATGCATCTTTTTCCCATTATCATCTTTTTGCTCGCTAGCGCCGAAGGGGTTTTTGGTGGCAGTAGGTTTTGGGAGGCCAAAGCACCCAACAAACGTACAAACCCTCGCCCTGACTACTCAGCCATCGAAACCATCAACGCGACTTCGTCACTCAGCAAGCGCGCTTTTTCCATCGAGAGCCGGCCAGGTCAAGCAGAATTACCCCGCATCTGGCCAAAAAAGACGATCAGATACTGCTTCGAAAACTCGCAGGGTCACGATAAGCTCGAGGGCCTCTTCAGGTCGGCCATAGAACTGTGGGCTCAGCTCAATAGACATGGCTTCAAGTACGAGGAAGTCTCAGATGCAGAATGCAAGTCTGAAGACAAGCGCGACTCCGTGTTGCACATCCATTACAACGACTACGGCAGGTTTTCCACGACGCTGGGCATTCCCGTGGTCGACGCACAGGAGATCGCGGACAACCCCACGACAGCCGTCCGTGGGCCAACCATGCACCTTTCTGACAAGGAAGGTGTCGGTCAAGAAAACACCCCCGCCAATATTGCCCATGAGTTAGGTCACGCCTGGGGCCTTGCCCACGAGCACCAAAATCCGTATTACTGGGAACAGAGCAGCATCACTGGGCCCTCTTGGAGCGTTCCAATGACCGGGAAAAAGTACTTCGAGACCGACGACTTCAATTGTGGAAACCTAGAAGACCATTATAAGATCCACAAATCAGTACAGGTCCTGATTGATACGGAAGTGGACTTGAGAAAGCGAGATATCTTGCAGGGAGAGTACAACAACCTCTGTGTCTTGCGCGGCGTTGCCAGCAAATACGGTTTCAGTGCTGCTGATTGGCTTCCCATTAGCAACACTGCGAACATGGTTATAGACGCGCAGTTTGACCCAGATTCGATCATGTTGTATCCTTCTCAAGCTGGTGGCGGCGATAATGGCGCCAACCGACGTATCATCATGAAATACAAGAAAGACTCCATGCCGAACCAAATCATCCCGATTCGTCACCGCCCCAGCAACATGGATGTCGACCGGCTAGTCGCGCTCTACGGCGATCCCGCGCCTTCCACGCTGGAGGTGCCGCACAATTCAGGTTCAAGCGGCTTTCATGGCAGACTCGGGAAGGCGAGGAGCAGTAAAGAATTTTCTCGCGCCGGGGACACCAAAGATGGTGCATGCTGATGAGTACCGTGTATGCAAGTACCCGCCAAGTCCGTTTATAGATCATGTAAATAGAACGTCGTGATAATTACTGGGCACTCTTAGCTACAATCATATACATGTCACCATATCCGTGTAAGCACCGCGTGAAACTGGGGGTTGATCTTGTCGAGGGAATAAATAAAGGCAAGCGGGCCCCCGCAGGCCGTGCACTGGTCACGGACTTCACGCGGACGGGCAAGTATCTTTGCTATTGAGCAGAAGATAATTTGCGACTGCGATTGATTCATGGCTATGGAGGTCACTCATAACCAAAGGGTAATGAAATTGTTATGCGAACACGCTCGGGTTGCTAGCTACAACTCAGGCCTTGCACCGCATTCAAAGACCTGTCTTGGTTTGTACGTGGGCATCGGCAGTCTCTCGATGTTTTCGCCGAGAGCTTTTGTAAGCGTGCCATCGTCGAGATCTATAGCCCAGACCATGGTTCTGCATTCTCGTTAGAAAATGGTCTCAGATTCGCGATGCAATAAGAACAAGATCGTCGCACTTACCCTCCTAAGCAATGCTGATGCGCAAAATCAACTTTTGTTCCTAACGTTTGAGTGTCGTCGAATGACACCCACTGGTTCGAGTCCCAAGTGACAATCTTGACAGCCGCCTCTTCATCGTGGGTGACAGTGGCGCCATTGGCGATGACCTCGTTGATTTCCGCCGCCGACAGCACGCCTGGCGTGCCAGTGCATGCGCCACCGTTAGCGCCATCGCTAAACTCACAGCCAGCCGTCATGCATCCAGGGTCCTTCATCGTGAAGCTGCGACCATAGAACCCAAGACCCAATACAACACGCTCTGGGTTGATGTTGTTGCGCCACAGGAGCTCGAGACCCATCTTGATTTCGGTCAAGTTTGTATGAGCCTGGGCAATAGGGCCGAGACTGTCGATGCTGGCGTCCCAGACACCGTGGATGTCGTACGTCATCATGTTGAACCAGTCGAGATATGGCTCCATTCCTTGGAGATTGAAGCCGCGGAGATACCAGTAAGAGGCAGGCTAGTGGGGTCAGTCGCGACGAAACAAGAAAAAGTATAGCAGGGACTGGTTGCTACTCACAAGAGTCAGGCTGATGCCGTATTCCCGGCCTGATGAGTTCAAGCGCTCGCGAAGCCTCCGCAGAAGATTGACGTAGTTGTCGAAGTCTTCGGGTATGCCGCCTCGATCCTCAGCCACAGGACTAAAGCGCGTGTGTCAGCGTAGCCAGAAATGATGAGGGTTTGTTACTTACTACTCCCAGTCGAGATCAACGCCATCTAGGTTATATCGCCTCAAGAAAGTCAACAGTGAATCGAAGAACTTGTCTTGGTTTGCTTCGCTGGCGGCCATGTCGGAGAAGGCGGTCCGGTATGGGCCCGGATCGTTCATAGCCCAGCCTCCAACAGCAATCCAGATTTTGAGGTTAGGCTGCCTCTCCTTGAGGGCCGCGACACGACCGTATCGTGATCCGGTACCTGGATCCATGTCCTCGATGTGGAACGTTTTGGGGTTGATGAGAGCAAAGGCAAAGTTGATGTGCGTCCAGTGACCCAAGGGGATGTCCTCAGGCTCCATGTTACCACAAGGGCGCTGGAAATTCCAGCCCTCGTAGTAGCCGATGGTACGCGCGTCGGCGCTCCGCTGCGAGAGGTCGCACTGAGGATGCGGCACCGGGTCAGGGCCGCAGAAGTCGACCGTCGTGCCACAGAAGCCATGCTCGCTACAGCACACGTTGAGTGGGCAAGTAGTGAGGTTAGCATACTGGAGACCCCAGGTGCCAGGATCGCATTCAGATTTACGATTGCAATCGCTGGTGCATTTGTCGCCGCAGAAGACGGGACCAAAGCCACAGGCACCGGTACCGGTGTCATCTCTAATGACTATCATTAACATCATGGCCGATCATACATGTTCATATCGACGACTTACAGAGGTCCGCAGCATCCAAGGTCACATGACTTAGTTGCAGTGCATGTGTAGTCGGGCTTCTCGTTTGCTTTGATAAGCATCTCTCTAGCCTCAGGCGTGGTTTCCTGGCCAGCAACGTTCTCCATGAGTAACCTAACTTCCGCCTGTCCGCCGAAAGAGCCCAGATCAAGTGCTTTCGCAGTCAGAAGGAGGCCCAGGCTGAGGGCCAGGCCCTTGAATGAGACACCTCTGGATGTCATGATGATGTGAAATGAGTGTTTGTACAACAAGTTTCAAGAAACAAGAAAAACGCGATCAATGTCTCCAGCGAGCACGACAGCTCGACGAAGAGCGTAGTGATACCGAGTGGGACGACATATTCACGACCGGACTATGGTCGAGCGGCGCGCAGCGCCAATTCCCGTCCCGTACCTGGCTCACAGCTGCGGACATCAGGGGTGGCCTGGAAAACATGCCGCTAGGCCCGTAGGCGAGCAAGGCGAAATCAAGAAGGAACTCATTTGCTGGAGTGTCAGCTCCGGCACGGTGTATGTGCCAAGATGAACGAAGGATGAGGTTGAGTTTGTCAAGGTGGGTCAACGCGAGGACCCTGCCGAGCCCGGACGCCACTAAATTCCGCCCTGCATTTAGCCGCCGAGCACCTCCATCGTTTTAACCTCTATCAGCGACCTCCGACACTATCTCGTTGATGCAGGTACGCCCTGCAGCATGCGCCTAGGTTGTGAACGCAAATGAGCTGGCTCGTGAGTGGTGGATTCGTACGTACCTGGACGGGATTCTACCATCGTCAGGCCGATACGCTGATGGTACCTGGGTAGGTCTCCACCAAAGACACTTTGTCTTGGGTAGCATCGGGTACATACAATGTTGCCTGCCTCATCCGACTTAGGCTTTTCGCCCCCATATCAGACGGGAACGTTCATCTAGTTCTCGCAACCGAAATGTCACCCTGCAGACTACCAGGGTGAATTCATTGACGATATCCATAGTCTGGTCTTGGCTGAGAACCATGGTGCTGCGTTGAGGCGGCGAAGGGTCATCTCGACATCCAGACGCCTGATCATCAACCGCCTTTGGCTAATTCTTCTCCCGTCTCTTCCGAAGCTTCGCTTGCTTGTTCATAGTCTATGAGCCTAGCTCACACGCTCGCAACGTTGGTCATTCGCCCTACGCCTCACGCTCATTCTTCATTCATGTCTCTCGTTTAGTTCGGTAACACCAATCGACATGATCATCACGTTGATCTTGGGCCTCTCGGTCCTGATCAGCTCGACGAATGGCTACGTTCCACACCACGCACACCATGGAAGACATGCCAGAAGTGCAAGACTATATCAACGTTCAGAAGCTGCCTCATCTGTCAACTTGTCCTCCTCGCCGACACCGCCCACTCTTCGCAAGCGGGATGACGATCCAAGCAGTATGGAGTGGATCAAACGCTGGGCAGCCATCGGCGATAGCTACACAGCCGGCATCGGTGCTGGAAGACCTCTCGGCCACAGAATCACCGCGGACGAGGTAGCTATCAGAGTGCCCAGTGGGCTGGAAGAGGTTCGAGACAACTGGAAGTGTTCCAGATATGACATGGCATACCCCAAGGTTATAGAGGCACAGTTTGGTGCCCACGTCGAAAAGGACGGCGGCTTCCAATACCTCGCCTGCAGCGGCGATCGTTCTGAACAAATCTACCAGCAGGCGCAGGCCCTAGAGGGCAAGCTCGACTTCGTCACTTTCACTTCTGGCGGAAACGACCTTTGTCTCGCCAAGATGATTGCAGATTGCATCATGCTGCCCTACGGCAAGACATCCGCCTGTGAGACCGTCATCGCAAAGGCCCAGGAAAATGCCAAGAATATTATCACCGACAACATCTTTCAGATTCTGGAAGCTCTCAACGAGAAGATGAACGACGACGGCATCGTCGTCGTGAACAGCTATGCTCAATTCTTCGACACACAGGAAGACAACTGCGATCGCCAGTCGTGGGACTTCTTCTGGTTCCTCCCATTGGGTTCCTCGTACCGAGCTCTCACTATCGAACGTCGCCACGTGTTCAATCAGCTGGTGCTTGACATCAACCAAGCGATTCGCGACGCCGTTGACAAAGCCGCCAAGAGTGATAAGATCAAGTACAAGGTTGGCTACGCTGATTGGGATTACTGGGTCTCGAATGAGGTGGACGCCCGGATGTGCTCGCCGAGTAGCAATGGCGACTATCCAGATCCAAAGCAACCGAACATGCACTTCATCAAGCCCGACACGCACCCTTGGGATGAATGGCAAAATGATTTTGAGCGGTCGGAGCTACGCAAGCGCGACGTGGATTTTGAGGAGATACTGAACTCGACGAGGCTCTCCAACTCGGAGAAACGCCAGGTGAATCGCATCAAGGCTATGATGGAGGCTCGCGATCGACACCTCGAACGTACACTCTACGACTCCATTCTTTACAAGTCACCTGATCCACGTGCTGCCGTCAAGCACAAGCTTGACGCCCGGGCTCCCTCACCACCAGGCTGCCCTGGGGATGGTGGCTTTGATATGACCTTTGGCATGGGCATGCCCGACACGATTGGCCGCAACGTAAGTACTAGCTGCATCTAGTCACAACTATGCCAAGGTTGCTTGACTGACATTTGCAGTTCCATCCCAACGAAGCCGGCCACCTGACCATAGCCTCCTTCGCTATCTCAGAACTCATGGACCTGCGCGCCATCGTTCTGGGCGTCGACTCACCCGCCTGCACCGCCGTCAAAGACGAATTCACTTGTTTCTCCAAGACAGGTAGTAAGTTCTACGTCAGTGGCAACCGCACCAATGAGAACTACGAGGAATTCTGCAAGGAAGTCCAAGACAAGCACGACAAGAACAAGATCAACTGGAGTTACTCCAAGACCTATGACGAAGGCACACCAGAGCAACACGACTACGTCGTCACCCTCAGCAATGGTGTTTCAGGATTCGACAAGGACGAGTGTGTGGACTCAATGAAGAAGATCATGAACTCATGCGACACATCCGATAACCCCATGAACTGGAAGGGTGGTGGCAGATACATTCGCAGCGGCGGAGACTACAAGTACGAGCTCAACCCCCGCCGCAGTAACCGCCCCTGGCCGCCGCCAAAAGCGCCATATGGTCGCTGCGAGGGTTGGTATAAGGGGACTCACGGACGCTACAAGGTCGAGGGTGCTGGCTTCTCGACCTGGGATTACGGAAAAGATACTCTTCGGCCTAACATGAATGGCTGCTATGGTCTTGGTACATCCTTTTGGAAGTTCGAGTACTTTGACAATCCGGCTGATCATGATGGGCACGAGTGGTATGCGACGTTTAGTACGCCGATTTGGGTACGTGCGAGATGTTGGGCGAATAACAAGATTGTCAAGGCGGCGGGTGGATGGACGAATGGGTGTAAGGGTAATGATTGAGGTGTTTCTCTGCGATTTGTATATACTATCAAATGACACCAGTACTCGCTTTGTCACATTGCCAAGGCAGGCTTTCATCAGCGCTTTCGAAATTTGGCCCAAGTATGTACACTTCTTCACATTCTCCACCACTGAATCTCATGACGAGCTACCCCCGGGTTCGTCGATTCATGCGACTCACATGCGAAAAGAGGATCGTGGATGAGAAGTTCACGCCTACCTAGGATTGAACTGAACACCGCAAAGCTTACGTTACCGTTGAGTCACCTATTTTGTAAGTTTTTATTTTAGTGTAGTCTGCAAATCATCCAGTTTTTTTCATGAATGAGGTGAGTTCATCAACTCCAAGTACCTCCCATCCTAATCATTATCCGAATCAAGTTCCATGTCGGACGAATCCTCTACCGCAGGCTCTTGGTTTTGCTCATTCCCAGATCCTGCTTCGAGCTCAGGCTCGCCACATTGTTCGTGATCATATGTGTATTCACCCTTCAAATACGCAATCCTGTTCCGCACCGTTTGCTCCGTATCTTCGACTCTCTCTATGCGGTCGTCGTATCCGTCGTCAGCGTCATCGCCGTAGTTATCGCGTGCCTCTTCGCGACCTCTGCTTGGGCTATCCTACTATCAGCTTGCGGTGCAGTGTCAAGAGTGCAATATGTGGGATTGGCGATCCAGTAATGATACTTATGCCTACATGGCCGATCAGGGGCCCCGGACAGGCATGTTTGTTTCCCGACCATGCGGTGGTAGACTGTTCAGTATGCCATCATCATCGCCTCTGGCCATGACCACGAGGAACTGTATCGCGCCAGCCGATCGCCATCAGCAAACTTCGCATCACCAAGTTCGTACAACATGAACAGAATAGAACCATATTGAGAGTCGTAAATCGCTTATCATATTCAGTCCAACGCCATGCTGATGCTGAGAATCATGCCGTGATATAGTACAAAGTCTTGGTATACACATCATCCACCTCTTGCCTATCAAATCATCCCTTGACCTCCTTCTCGAGTAGTTCTTTCGCTTCGTTGACCTTGGTCGCAAGGTAGGGGCTACCGCCTCGATCGGGGTGGTTGAGTAGCATGAGCGATCGGTGCTTCTTCCGTAATAGTTCTTTCGTGATGCCGCGTTCGCTGGAAAATGTCAGTCCTCTGGTTCCTGTGAGGTATATATGAATAGTCGTTGGACGTACGGCATCTCTAATATAAGTGCAGCTTCTCTCCGTGTCATCTTGGGTTCAAAACCGCCTTTGTAGTATCCACGTCCTAATGCTCCGGCTCCACCGCCTGATCTCCGTAATGCCACGAGTGCTGCGCGACCCTATTGAAATCCGTCAGTACATCTTCGTTGTGAATTATCATATTCCGACAGTTCTCGATCCAGTCACAATAGAGGCGTGACTAAGGAAATTGGAGGCCATACGAAGAAAGCAGTGGCACCGGCGCCCAAGATCCAAACCCAGGCAGACATCTCGTCGCACTATCTGGGCTCAACTATGCAGTTTCGGAGGTCCGGTATACGGGTAGTGTGAAGTCGCGATGTGAGGTAGGCGGGGGGATACGTCAGATGGAGATGCTTAGGTGGATGGCGGCGGCGAGGTGGTCAGAAGGAAATTTGCGGAGGTGCCTCGGTCGAGAAGCATCGCAATTGGCGGGCCAGAATGGCAGGTGGGTTGGCATGCACGGGCCACCCAAAATTTCGAGCCGGCGAACTTCTCGACCCTCAACCTCCGTACCTTTACACGACACCCGCCTCACCACCGCCAACCAAGTGAAGCGTGGTCGATCTTCATATATCCCGATCTCAGCCCGTGCTGACGATTATTGCGACGCGGAAAAGCGCATACCTACCCACGATAAGGACGAGCGCGATCGCATTCGCGCCACGACGACAAGATGAGAATCGAGACTTGCTACTTCTGCTCTTCGCCGGTGTACCCGTCCAAGGGTATAACCTTTGGTATGCATAATTAATCACACCTCAAAGAAATCCTTGCTGACTCATCAGTGCGCAACGATGCAAAGGCCTTCCGCTTCTGCAAGAGCAAATGCCACAAGAACTTCAAAATGAAGCGCAACCCCCGCAAGCTGGCCTGGACCAAATCCTTCCGCCGCGCGCACAACAAGGAAATGACCGTCGACTCGACCCTCACCTTCGCCCAGCGCCGCAACGTGCCCGTGCGATACAACCGCGACCTCATCCAGACCACCCTTAAGGCCATGGGCCGTGTATCCGAGATCCGGCAGAGGAGAGAGCGCGCCTTCTACAAGGCGCGCATGCGTGGCAACAAGCAGAGGCAGCGTGAGGAGGACAGGAAGTTGGTCGAGGAGAACCAGCACTTGCTGCCGCCGAGCGAGAGGTTCGCCAAGGAGGAGGTTGAGCAGGAGGAGATGGAGGTCGATGTGCAGAAGGTCAAGGACAAGGTCGCGGCTAGGAGGAAGGAGCTTGAGGCTGAAAAGAGCGAGCTCAGTGAGCTGGAGGAGGAGCTGCCCAAGCAGAAGACCAAGACGAAGAAGATGTTGAAGAGGAAGGTTGGTGGCGGTGTTGAGGCTATGGATGTTGACGAGTAGGTCTTTGTTGGGGTACAGATGGTATCTTCCACGATATGACAGTACGATTTTGACAGTCATTAAACGATCTTCCGACATAGTCATGGAGTTTGGCGTCTCACTTATGGTAGATTACGGACATGATTTCGATACCACAGCAAAAGCATCTTTCCATACCAAAAGCTCACGGTCGAGTGTACATTGATGCAGCATGTACTTTGTGTGTGCCTCGTTGTGCGCCCTGCGCCAGGGTTCTCAACAAACAGTCGTCAGCCTCACGTTGAACACCATTTATGAAAACTCTCAACTTTCGGGTGTGGTAAAAGACGTATGAGTCCACAATGAATGAACAGTGACAGTGCTGCCATCCTCAAGTATCTCGCACCTCACCTCTCCTTCTCCACTGGTCATCGCGTTGGCGGAGTTTGGAATGTTGCCTGCAGTCATTGTCTGGTGATACATCTTCTTTGAAGTCGGCACGATCGCTCGTAGGCTCATTCCCACGCAAAGATGATGTGGCTGTGCTTGATGGATTCCAGCGTCACCGGAAAGTGCGTCCCGAGTGGGCCGAAGTGGGATTAGCGTCCGTGCGCTAGATCGAGCGCGTCGTGCGCGTCAAGGTCACCACTCCCGGTTCTCGTCCTAGAACTATCTGCCATCACAACAATCCGACCCTCCATCTTCACTTGACTCGCCAGATTCATCATCGCGTTCTTTAGGTAAAAATGCATCAATTCCGACATTACGATGAAGTCTGTTGATAGGCTTGCTGGCCGTTTACCCAGCCATCGTCGCTGCATAGCCTTGCACCACGAAGCCTTACCGTGTTGAGAGGACCACAGCTGCACCAATGAGTAACGAGTCTCCAAGCCGCCTTCAGGCGTGACTCCAACACTTGTTCCGCCGCAGTGAAGCGAGTCCCTGGCCGCCGCGCTTCGTTGCACTCTTATCTCGCCTGTCTCACCCTCTTCACAACAAGCGCTCTACGGCTCCTTCTCCCACAATATTTCGTGTCATTCTTTTGTTGGTACCACTTGTTTTGCATGTTGCGAGGCTACTACTGTTATGCGGTTACTCCATCGCCTGCCGGGGTCCGACCAATTCGACTTGGTTGAGCGATTCGGCGAGAAAATCCCGCCTTACGCCATCCTCTCGCATACCTGGGGTTCCAACGAGGATGAAGTCACGTTCTCGCAATTACAAGAAGACCAGGCGAAAAGTATTCCTGGATATAGCAAGCTCATCTTTTGCTCAGAACAGGCTACGAAAGACGGTTTCGAATTTTTCTGGGTTGACACATGCTGCATTGACAAGAACAGTAGCACCGAATTGACGGAAGCACTTAATTCTATGTTTAAGTGGTACAAGCAGGCGGAGAAATGCTATGTCCTCCTATCCGATGTAACCGTCGAGGGCCCAGTCAAGGATATCACTCAGAGACAATGGGCACACATGTTCCACAGCAGCAGATGGTTCCAGCGGGGATGGACGCTGCAAGAACTGCTTGCGCCAAAATTTGTCGAGTTTTTCTCGGGGACTGGCGCGCGTCTTGGAGACAAGGTCACACTGCTGGAGGCTCTCCACTTTAGGACGAAGGTGCCAGTCCCAGCACTCCAAGGCTGTTCGCTGTCACAATATAGCATTGACGAACGCATGTCATGGATGGAGGGACGTCAAACGAAAAGAGAGGAGGATGCGGCATACTCTCTTCTAGGTTTATTGGGCATCCACATGTCGCTTCTGTACGGCGAGGGACGTGAGGCGGCACTGACACGGTTGCGGAGAAAAGCAGAACGTTCACTGAAAAGTAAAGCGTCGACGAAGCCATGTCCGCCGCGTCCATGGACCGTTCCCTTTCCGCGTAATGGTGCTTTCATCGACCGCGATTATCTAGCGGAGGTGTGTCACAGATGCTCTCAGCCTGCTGGTTCTGCAACCCTGCTTGGCCCTCGAGGTGTTGGGTAAATACTACTGTCTTTATTATGTCACAAATGACTGATTTGAAGTCCAGAAAGACACAAATCGCCATCGAATACGCCTACCTAGTCCGTGAGCAGATGCCATCGAGATGGATCTTTTGGATCAACGCAGCGACGCGAGCTACTTTCGAAGAAGATTACTGCGCGATTGCCAACGTAGTAAAAATGAAACACTACGACAATCCTAGGGTTGACATTATGTCACTCGTCCGGAGCTGGCTGTGCGATGGTTCCAAAACTAGACAGTGGACCATGTTGGTGGATGGTGCTGATGATATAGACGTGTTCTTCTCTCGCCGTCCATTGCAAGAACATACCCCAGCCAGCTCGCACTTACGCTGGCGTCTACTTTCTAACTTTCTCCCACAAGTCCCCAATGGGTCAATAGTTGTTACATCCCGAGGCCGGGAGGTCACACAAGGACTCAAGGACCCGCTTTCAAGCAACGCGATTATCGAAGTTACAGTAATGAACACAGATGAGGCATTGGCTAGTGTTGGGAAGCAACTGGGCTCTCTAGCGTATAGAGACCAAGCTTTACGACTTTTAGATATCCTTGGCTCTACGCCACTCGCTGTCAGGGAGGCAGCTGCGTTCATAAACAACCGCAAAATGGGAACAAAGTCATCTTACCAACCGGATGAAGCCCACGGGAGTAACATCAGCCATACATCCTCACTACACGAGGTTCAAGATGCTACGGCGCAAACGTTAGAACCAAATTCCGAAAACGCAATGGTCGACCCCAACTCGGGCCTATCCATGATTGTGCACCGTCTTCACACAGCTATCGAGGATTTGCATGACCTTTTGCCCGCAATACGAGCTGTGCAGCCTGGGCACAGGGTCACGAGCACCTCTTTGTTGAATATTAGCCCGCTGCCTGCAGATCAGCGCGAGCCTACCTTATCCATTGCTCAAACTTCGCAGACTAAGTCCACTGACATGTCTTTTACTAGCAAACCAACCGACATTGCATCAATCGTTGCAGGTACCAATGGCTTGATGCAGTTGGATCTATCGATGTCAGATTTGGCTTTGCTTATTGATCAAGGCAGGAAAATCGGCAGCTTTGCTCACGCTAGGACCACTAGTCGGAATCGATTCGAAAGGGGAGAATGGGATATTGATCTTTTCCAGCACATGGACGACAGGAACGACTCCCTCGTCAGAAGGCCCGGTCTTGTGGACGTAATTGAAATGGAAAAGAGATGGCCAAGCTTGAGATTTGTGCAACACAATAGTCGGATCAGAAAACAACCCCATGAGGAGGCGCCGGACAAGTGGGATAGCTTCACTTGGGTCATGGTGGCAATTGTTTCGGCATTGGACGAGTGTATGCCCTCTTCAGGACTTCAAGACCTTCTTTTTCGTGTGTTCAACACGATCGTAGATCGCCACGTCGACATGTCGCCCTTTATGAGCTTCCACTTGAAGAAACTTGTCGAGTCGTGGAGATCTTTCGGGTGCACCAGAGAGATAGCATTCGCAATCAAGCGGAAAATGCGTCAGAGTTGGTCGGAAAACCCCGTCGGTCAGGGGCCTCTCAGCCCAGTTCCCCAGCTGAATGACGCGGAAACACAAGACGCGGAGAACATGCTTGTTTGGCTTTTCAATGGGGACATGTCAGTATGCAATGTCTTGTCTCCAATTACATTTTCCTTGGCTGAGGCTTGGAGAGAGGTAAAGCTCGACTTGTGCACTGACGGAAACCCTTCGCATGAATCGCAAGCCTGCATTACATATCATCCCCAAGGTCATTTGATTGGGTCACAGAAAGTCGACCTAGGTCTAGCTGCGGACCAAACACGTACCGAGCCCTACCTTATATCCTGGCCTCAGGAAAAGCCTCAGTCAATGATCCACTCGCTTGGGGTCGGAACTCCATTGGAGAACATTATGTTTCATGCATGGCAATGCGGTTCGGAAGCTGCTGATAGTTTGACTTTGATCGCGAAGGCGGACGCACCGTATCATGCTGGAATGGAGGTATACTACACCCTCGAGGTACCTGTTGATGCACGAGCGTCTATTCAGTCCGCTCCGCATATTGGCATGCTTGCCGACCAAGGCTTTCCCACAGACAGCAACCAAATACAAAAGACCCTTGAGTGGATCCTTGAAGGAGAGTCGACAGAGAGCTTACGATGGCTCCAGAGCCACGTTGCAAACGACTACCTACTGCGGATAGAAAACTCGTCCGCGGCGATTGATCAAGCGAACGACCACCGACTACAGGATCACTGCAGGTCCTCGTCATCCCATAAAGCTCATGAGACCATCTTCTTCAAATACCAGGCTTTTCTTCTTGGTTTCTACTATCAATTGTTGAAACAAGTCTTATCATTCGAATTGGTCGAATCTAGATCTTCATTTCACAGCATATGGAGTACAGACTGCACGACTCTCCTGGCATTGTGCACCCAGCTTGGTCATTATTTGAGAAGCGATGGTAGGGTCAGCCGTGGTCACATAATATACGTGCTTGCAGCAATGTACAACGGCCGTCGCAAGATGTTCAATACATGCTCAGCACCTCACAGACTAATCGGTGTTCTCGGCTCTACTTCGGTATTAGCGCTACCTCTCATACGTGCTACGGACGATCCAAAGGAACTAGGAAAAATCGCCGTCGTCGATCTTCCAATCAGACATCAAGGCGTCGATAGCACTGAAGGCGATTTGATGGCAGGAAATGGGGGAGGGCTACGTTTCAAACCCTGGTTTGGTGAATACTTGTGGCCCCACCCCACGATACAAGCAGCTGGCCCAACGGAGATTTGGAGTGTCCACCCGTACATGAGCCTAGCTATAGACAAAAGTGGGCTCAGTGGCGTAGTCATGGCAGCTCGATGTGGTAAGAGACTTGTGGGGTGGTTTAATCCAGTAGCTGCTGACACTTCGTTCCTGAGCTCGGCTTACATCAAAGAGTCTCATAGCAAAGAGGAGGTTGTTGCATTCGAGATGAAGGACGAAAATTGGCAAGCTGGCGAGGCCCTACTGCCAGACTCATTGAACGCTTTCGGCGCTGTACGCTCTCATAAATCGCCCGACTTGCGTTACGCCGCTACCGGTTTTTATGCTGAGAGAGGTGTGGAACTAGCCATCGCTCAATCCGCTAACGAGTTCTCTGGGGCGTTCGATAGATTGCAAGCACAAGACGGAGGCATGCTCATCGCGTAATCAACACCGGTTTCTTGCTCTGTCTCTTCCTGTCTCCAGCGATTTACAATCGACTTCCCTTTGTAACCTTGACAATAAACCCCAGGCGCGGAAAATGGATTCTTACATCCAGCTGGGCTTTCTCATCCGGATTGATGACAACCTCCTCGCTTCCAATCTTCACCAATGTGCCTTTCGTAGGGTTACCGCGTCCAGTATCATCTGGTACAACACTCACACTCGCCCCCGGTACCATCCCTCTCCGAGTATCAAGCGCCTCATGCGGCGCCACCGCCGTAGGAACCAGCAGCTCTTCATCTTTCAGCAAAGGCGCCCGTCTCAGCGCCTCCTTCCACTGCATATCGCCTTCCTTCACCGTTGTTTGCGTATCAGGCAGGCCCTCAGAATACTTCTCAAACTCCCCAAACCACCTCATCAACCCCGGATACCTCTCCGCATTAAACACCAACCCCACAACATCCTCCTCCCCATCCGTATCCCTCGCCCCACCCCCACTCAGATCTCCAATCCCTCTTCCAGCCCCAATATCCATACCCCACCGTAATTGGTAATACAAACTCAAATCCGCCAAACTTGGCGTCTGCGTCGGCATCGCCCACGTGCCAGACGTAAACATTGGTTCCAGCATCGAGAGGTGCATGTCCAGAAGCGAAAGGTTGTCTGGGATCTTGGCTTGGAGTTTTTCGGGCTGGATAGGGTGCCCGATTAGTTGGGCGCGGTCTTTACCGAAATCTGAGGACCAGACTGAGGGGGGTATGAAACCTGTGGTTGTACGGAAGAGGGGTTTCTGTTGTCAGATCAGTACTCGATACCCACACCTTCCCACATTCCCCTCCCCTTTCCCTTCTCTTTCCTTTCCTCGTTCTCTCCAAAGCAAAACCATCAACTTACATCCATCCAAAACCCCGCAAACCCCCTCGCCATCCCCCTATACATCCATTCACCCACACCCTGCGCTTCCGGATACACAGTACCCCAACCCTGCTTCCCAGGGAAGAAATGCTCCAAAGCTTCGATGATGAGCGAGGTGTCGCAGTAAATGTGTCGTCCGATTGCTAGGATGGGGATGCGTCGGTACTGCAGGCCGAATGTTGAGGTTATGAGGGGGCGGGGGAGCATGGAGGGAACGGGGATGTAGGCTTGGGTGGTGTGGTTAGTTGGGGGATGGTGGTATGGATGGTGATGGGATAGGGTGGGAAGGGTGGTGGCTTACAAAAGGGGATTTGCTTGATGCGGAGGGTTAGTTTAACTTTGTTTGTGAAGGGGCTTGCTGTAGTATGGTCAGTTCGTGTAAAGCACATGATGGACTAGGGCTTTGCTCACAGTCATAGCCGAACAAGACGACCGGTGGATGATTTGTTGGAGGCGCCATATCTGCTTGGTTTTACTTCAGCAATGGGGTCAATACATGTGCTTCGAAATCGCAATGTTGATGGAAGAGATGCCATGGAGTGGTGATGCCGGGTCGTGATGTCGTCGTACCCCGCCCAGCCATTCATGTGCCGAGGTCCTGGTCGGGATGTCCGGCATGCGACGTAATAGATCACATGTCGTTCGAGTATGTTTTATATAGTTGTATATGGTTTTGCTGGTGGTTTGCGAGTCGCGATATCATGTTTTCTGAAAGATGGGCAACTTGATTGACTTGTGTCACGAAAGAGTTGTAGGGCGGAAGACGGTTATATGCATACTTACTGTGACAAGAGATAATGCAACAACAGTAGCTGTGCAGTGCTCTACAAACCCTCCTCTTGATTCAACCTAATCCCCCTTTCAACCAGTCCCTCAATCCATCCATTAAACTCTTCCCTCATCTCCGCAGGCAATACATGCCCCTGGCCCTTGATGAAATGCTTCTCAATCTCACCTTCCTGCCAAACATCGTCTTCCTCTTCAACACCTAACCAGTTCTCTTTACCCGTCACACCCTCGCCCTTCTCCAATCCCCGCCAAAGCACAACGCCCAGAGGGAACGTCAGCATGCGATCCTTGGTCCCATGGACGACCATAATCCTGTTCTTGCCGACCGTCGTCGCAATCTGCTGGAGTTGCTCGGGGCTCTTATGATGCCACCCCGCGGCAATGGCTTGTAGCATGAAACCCGCCTTGCCAAAGTACTCTGGATGTTGACGCTTCCATAGTTCGTTTGCGGCGAAGCGGTCGCCGTTGGTGGGAAAGGCTTCGACGACGGGTTCGAGCGTGTCGGGAGAGTCGAGCCACTCCTGCGTGTAGAGATTCTTTTTCACGCCTTCGATTTGGGCGTCGAGAGATTTGGGAATAAAAAGGTTGGCACGGTTTATAAGATTTTCGAGAAAGCCCTGGCGGTGTGAGTAGACGAAGGGTGTATGATGTAGTGCTACATACGGTTGTTCTGAACAGTTGTGCGGCTGTTGATACTAGCGACAGTGTGCATATGCGTTCCGGTATTAATATAGCCTGGATGTTTGTTAGCGAGAATGCATTTCGAAAGCATGAATATTATCCGCAATAGGCAATTTCGCCGCATCCCCCACGATCGACATACACAACCGGAGATCATATGTGCTCTACTATCGAACACGTGGGGGTGGGGTCAATCGAGCGGAGCGGAAGATGAAAGCGCCGATGAGATTACAGGATGATGCTGGGTATCAGAAGTCCAGAGAAATGTTTCTGGCGACTACATGTCGAGTATTTGTGTTCGATAACGGAACGTGTAGCTTCCGAGTCGAAGATCATGACGATAAAGATATTGTGGACTTACTATCTCCTGAGCTATCATTCCACCCATGCTTATGCCAATGACGTGCAACTCACGTTTGCCGGTCCAGCCGATGTGGTCGAGCACTTCGACCAGGTCCTGAGCCATGGCAGAGGTGGAGTATCTCGACGTGGGCTTGTCGGAGTCGCCAATGCCCCGGTTGTCAGTCACCAGCGACGAGTACTGATCGCCTTTGTTGTGGGCGAAGTCTTTCGTCTGGCGCTGCCATGCATACTTCATGCCACCAAGGCCCATGACCCACTACATGGCGTCAGTCGTTGAGTCTTGACGATAACAATGTGTGCGGAAGATGCCGGAAGCGGCTATAGAGCGAAATGTATAAGTGTGCGAGTTGGACAACCTGAGACACGATGCAGACGAGTTGAGACGGTCATTGTGACTGAAACGAAACGGTGACAGGGTGCCGGTACCCGTGGATTGGTAGAAGAGGAACATTACAAATGCATCCCGGTCAAGAACAAGCTTTCTTTGGCGTGATATGCAGCGCATCATGTTGGAGCAGATATTAATACCGAAAGTAGGGCGACTTACCACGAGGTGTCTGTCGCCATGGCCGTGGACCTCGTAAGCGATGTTAAGGGGACCGCTACGGTCTTTGGCCACAACGGCCTTGCCTTTCTTTTCAGGTTTGAGGTCCCAGATGGTGTGGTTGAATTCGGGATGTTGCTGCAGCTCTTCGACCGTCATTGGTGCCATGGCGGGTAGTGTTGCAAGCCTCGATCTGGAAAGTTAATCAGAGGTTCAGGTGGAATGTCAGGAGGGGCGGAGATGCGAGGATGCGACGGGAGTGGTGGCGCAGCAGGGTGGACAACGTTGTCGTGTGGCTGCCGCTCGGCAGGTGTCTCTTGGTAGCGGTGTGCCCATAGCGCATCCCGGCAAGCGACAGGTACGCGAGCGTTGGAAGCGGAAGGGACCAGGAATGCTGACGTACTATTCTTGTAGGCGCTTACGAGCCCTGAAGTTGTGAGGTCTAGGCTGCAAAGTCGGGATCTTCAGGCTTATACACTTGTGAGATCTAGAGTGGTCTTTCAATGACAAAGAAATGAGGTGGTGCTAGGGCGTATAAAGTTCTTCACCTGCCAAACGCGTGGGAGAAGCAATATCGCAACGTCATATCTGCTAGCCCGTTTGCAGCCCAGCTGGCGTGGCTCGTGTCTGACTAAGGCGGGCTGGACGCGCGAACTACGGACGACGCGGCTCTCTAGGCTGGCCGTAAGTACAGTAGAGACGCGGAGAAAGAGCTGCCTCAGGTGTCGTCTCAGCTGCTGCCAGACGACTAATCACCCTTACCGACATCCTCGTGTTGCCGTTTTTAGCGGGCGTTGCGCATCTGCAACAGGCCAAACAAGCTTTCTGCCTCACCCGTTCACCGTCGGCCACGATTCGACACTCGGCGAGTCTGCGACACCCACCCCCAGGGCCCTGTAGATGCGATCCTCGGCAGCGTTTCACCCTGCTCAGCACTAGACCTCCAGACCCCCAGCACGACACCCCTCCGCCCTCACAAAACACCACCAAGCCCCGGATACTCGCGAGGGCCCAATTGCCCGACGACCTCACGACTGACGACATAGCGCCTCCTAATACACCATGAACCCCCCTCCTAACGGCTTCTATGCCACCGGCCCGCCCATGATGAACCCTCCGCCGCCGCGTCTGTTCGGCAGCGGCACCTACGACCCGTCGCAGATGCCGCCGGGCAACATGTTCAACCTCGACGACGACGACCACAACGACAGCGACCCCAAGCGGCGGCGCATCGCACGGGTACATGGTGCGGATATGAGGTGACGACGGCATGCTGACAGGATGCAGGCGTGCGACATGTGCCGGAAGAAGAAGATCAAGTGCGACGGCAAGATGCCCTCGTGCACCCACTGCCAGAACTACAAGACCGAGTGCATCTTCACCCAGGTCGAGAAGAAGCGGCAACCACCAAAGGGGTAGGTGCGATGGACGTGCTGCGCACATGGCATACTGACCGTGCACAGCGCCAAGTACATCGAGGGTCTGGAGAACCGACTGGCGCGCATGGAGTCGCTGATGCGCCTCTCTGGCGTCCTGCCCGAAGACGACGATGGTAGCACCGACCTGGCCACACTCGAGCGGCGGCTGGAGGCACGAGCCGGCCGATCCGCTACACCCCGGAATAGCATCGACGACAGACGCGCCTCCATGGCACCGCCCACAACAGGTCACTCGACCGCCAATGGCACACCGGCCCAGCCAGCTCTCCCCAGTCCGAGGAGCGGCACCGCCTCACCAGAGCCCCAGGAAGAGATGGACACCACCAAGGACAAAGACAAGGAAGAGGACGCGCTCGCCGAGATGATGTGTTCCCTGGTGACGAACAACTGCGGAGAGACCAGATATATCGGTATGTCCTCCATATCCGTCGTCTTCAACGCTAACAAGTCCAGGTTCTTCCTCCGGTTTCTCTATCTTCTCGCCCAAAGGCATACAATGGGTCAACGAAAAGACCGGCGACAACTCCTTCCGCGACATGATCTCCACAGCCGCCGTCGAGGACAACAAGTGGATCCAATGGCGGCCCGACGTCTTCCAGGACATCTTCAAGCGCCGCGTCTACAAACAACTACCGCCCAAGCATGAGGCTCTGTCTTTACTCAAGGACTACTTCGAGAACTTCAACTGCATGTTCCCGCTGTTCCACGAACCGACCTTTATGCATCTGGTAGACAAGCACTACTCGAAAGACCCATACGAAGGATCCGGCTGGTGGGCCAGTCTGAATGTCGCTCTGGCTTTTGCACATCGGTTGCGCGTCATGAGCAATCTGGTCCCAGCAGAAGAAGACGAAAAGGCATGGCAGTACCTGAAGAACGCCATGAGTGTCATGGTAGAGCTTACCATGCGCAACACCGATCTTTTGAGTGTTCAGGCTTTGCTGGGAGTGGTATGTGATAACGGACTTTGAAGATGTTTTCATCTAACGTGTTCAGGGTCTCTTCCTCCTCGGAACCCCAAATCCACAGCCTACCTACTTCTTCGTGGCTACCGCCATGCGACTGGCACACAGTATCGGTCTCCACAAGAAGGGTGCCAACTTCAGTCTCAACGCTGCCGAGGTCGAGCAACGGAGGCGTGTTTTCTGGATTGCCTACATGCTGGACAAAGAGTGAGTCTTTCTGATCTTCCAACAGTATGCAGACTAACATCATCAAGTATTTGTCTGCGGTCGGGCAGACCACCTGTACAAGACGACGACGACATGAACGTCGAGCTACCGAGCGAGACTCCACCAGATAATATCGGCAACATCCCGCTCGCTGATGGAAAGGGTACCATGAACCTGTTCCGTCTCATGTGCACCTTCTCCGTGATCCAAAGCAAAGTCTACAAGGGCCTCTATTCCGTCAAGGCATCCAAGCAGACCGATGGTGAGCTGCTAAATACCATCGGCGAACTCGACAAAGAGTTGGAAGCCTGGAAAGACGACATACCCCTCGAGTTCAGGCCAGAGCACGACATCAAGGCATCGCACACCCCACTCATCCTTCAAGTCGCAGTACTACATCTCGGATACTACAACTGCTTGACCACTATCCACCGCATGAGCGTGCATCACGGATACTGGACTAGTCGATTGTCCAACTTTGCGATACAAGGTCTCAACGCTCGCCCTCTGAACCCCAGAGTCTTCATGTCCGCTCAATTATGTGTGCAAGCTGCCCGAGCTTCGATACATCTTTTGAAGTACATACCAAAAGGCGACTTGTCATGTGTTTGGTTGGTCATCTACTTCCCAGTCACTGCTCTGGTCACGCTCTTCGCCAACATTTTACAAAATCCACAAGACACACGATCACGGTCAGATCTCAAGCTGATGAAGCTGGTAGTCAACTTCCTGAACATGCTGAACGACGACCAAGGTAGTGGCAGTGTTAAGCGCATGTGCACAGTTTGCGCTGAGTTTGAGCGTATCGCTACTATCGTGCTGGAGAAGGCAGATCGCGAACACGCATCGCGGCGGAAGAGGAAACAGGGTGACAGCGAACAGGATGCTCAGATCGAAGCAACCGCGGCTGAGCTGCTTTCGACAGGTCGTAACCCACAATCCCCACCTCAGCAGGTTACGACCCCACAAAACCCCCCCGCCCAAGAGGGTATGATCTTCAATCCAGACTTCCATGGGTTCAACGAGGTAAGCTACACCACTATTGTACTAGACCAAAGCTAATTTGTCCAGCCATTCCCTTTCTCACCAAACTTTACGCACGACTCCTTACAACCTAACATCCAAATGAGCCAATATGGATCACCAGGAATCACCGCGCAAATGCTTCAACAATCACAAAGCCTACCAATGACAACAGGTGGTGATATTAACGGCGTAAACGCAAACATAAATGCCATGGCCGGCATGGGCCAGTTCGATCAGACGCTGAATAACGTTCCACAGGATCTATGGAAGATGCCAATGACACTGGAATGGGATTGGGCGGATATGACTGGTGGCTTCTCGGGATACGAGGATGGCATAAGTATGAACGGTGTACTTCCGGATTTCTCGAATAACACCGGCCACGGAACAAGCGAGTTCAACCAAGGCGCCATGAATGGCGGTCGATGATGAAGCTTATTCGCAGCCCATTGGATGGAGCTTGCCGTCCCGAAGATGGTGTTTCACAACATCGACCATTACGTTTTGGCCCGTCAATACCAGCAGAGCATTCCCTCTCATCTAGGAAGGGATGTTAGCGCCCAACTCCAGCACGATCTTGCGTGCTTCGTTATATACCACTTCTTGCCATCGGATGCGTCTCTGTGTATGCATCCAATCATGAGTTTCGTAGCCTTGTAGAATAACGTTGTATCTCCAAGCAATACATCTTTGTAATAACACATCTTTGCTACAACCCGAAAACGTCGCGCATGCACGGTAGTCAGGTCTTGGTAACCAGCTGCACGATCAATCATAGGCTACCACTAACGTCGCGCTAAGGATCATAATCCGGAGATCCTCGCTGTACGATGATGCTTACCTGCTTGACGTATGTCCACCCAGACATCTCGATTTATCTGCCAACAATCCCTGCGCTGATCACACAGCTTCATTCAACACCCTTCCACTCTAGGCCACCTTACTTGACCTCAACCCTTCTCAAAGTCTCTTTGATTCAAAACGCAATGAAGAACATAACCTCCCTCCTCTCCACCCTCATAACCGCAAACCACATCCTCTCCCACCACGCCGTCCTCGACCCCTTCGGCCACATCAGCGTCCGCAACCCCAACACAAACACTACTTTCTTCATCGCTTTGCAAATCGGGCCTGCGACCGTCTCCTCCCCCGCAGACATAGGCGAATACCACATCGCCGACGGCACGCCCTTGCCTGGTACCGTCGGTGGATACGCGGAACGCTATATCCACAGTGAGATTCTGAAGAGATATCCGGATGTTAATGGGGTTGTGCATAGTCATTCTGAGGATGTGCTTCCGTATACGGTTCTAGATTATGCTGGCAATGGAAATGGAGATGGAGATGGAGATGGAAAGGGGATGCGAGGGATGTGGCCTGTGTATCATATGGCTGGATTTCTGGGTGGGGAAGTACCGAACTTTGATATTGGGGATGTGTATGAGGAGGGGGAGCCGAGGGATATGCTTGTTAATAGTGTGAGGTTGGGTGGAGCGTTGGCGGAGATGTTTGGGAGGAATGAGACGAGGGT